TTGGTTAATTTATTATGGCTTTAGTTAAAGCGTGTGTCTCTCTAAAAAGATCCAAATCCAATTCAGTATTAAAGCCACTTAAATAAAAGTTAAGTTCTCTTCATTCATTTTTACTAATTTCTAAAAAGGATTCACGTCTTGAAGTGTTTAACAAAGTTGAATTGTGGAACGAAATGGTTGATTTCTTGTATAGAACTACACCAGATATTGCATATAGCAGAGTACTTCGGCTACGGATCAAATCTTATTGTCGTGCCTTTTTATCTGAATTGCTATAGCACTTGCTATAGTATTTCCCTAGCATTTTGTTCCCTAACAAACACCTTTCGTGCTTTACTCTGGGATCTCCTTAAGGCAACTGTAAGCATTATCTGTTTGGATTTTATTTAGAAGCTTCAGATAAATGGTTTTTTTAAGGTAGATGGTCATCTTTCCTATGAAAATAACTGCAATAGCACGGAAGAAAGTTTTCTGTCAGTTTTTTTCTGCATTGAAACTAATGAATGTATTCCCAAGAGCTGTGCTTCTTGACTTAATTCGAACATGCAGAAAGTAAGATTGTTGACAGGGTTAAGGGATAAGGAACATTAGTTGTAAATTGACATGATAGAGTTTTGACCATGATGCGTTTACGTAGTTTATGAACTGCTTTAATAGTAGTTTTTAAAGAAAAGTGAACGATCGTAAAACATGGGATCGTTTTTGTGACATATAAAGTATAAAATTGATCGTTTGCTGTTTTAAAATGGATTAATATTTGACTGGTCCGCTTGTCTTCTCCGAATACTTTTTATGTACAGCACAATGGGAAGACAGGAATTGTCTAAAGCTTAAATTAGAGCGTAGTATATTATTAAATATTGGAAAAATTACATATAAGATGTTTTTACAAAATGATATTATAATTTCATTTTTAGAGAAAATCATATATTTTAGCAATTATTTTTAACAAATATTTTTAATAATAAGTTTGTACCTTGCATTCATATATGTCCAAATCTTAAAATGGTTTTGAAAAATCCATCGAAATCCCATTCGAATGCCATAAGAATTCTAAAGTTACTCAACTAACATTTCACACACAGCAAATGGAAGCACAAAAGTGTGCAATTTTATGCAATTTTCAAAACGTCACTTCAATCTTTCATAGCAGACACAGAGACCCAACCACGTGGTTCGTCTAGCTACAAGATAAGTAGATCGGTTTGGGTAAAATATAAATTTAACCCAAATTTGGTGTACATACGCAGGAACATAAATTCAGAAACATTTGCCATTTGTGCATTCGAAAGTGAAATTCCATTCCATGCAATTGACTTCTATTTGCAGCGATATTCAACTACTTCCAACGATATTCTACGATTTGCTGCATCTCTTGTAAAAAATTTATTGGATTATGAAAAGAGTTTCGTGACAATAAAATAGTAGAAATGTACGACACATTTCACTCGTATATCATGTTCTGCTCATATTTTAGTTAGCTTCCATTATTTTTGGTATTCCTGCCAAAGTCTCGTCGTGAGTTCGCCGCCTCTGATGTGTTGATGAAGAACTCATGTTCTTCATCAACCATTGCTCCGAATACCTTGAAAAGTAGATACTTTTTACGCTTGAAACTATGTTGGAACACAATAATTGTAAAAACTCTTTTAAGGTTTCATTTGAGTGCATGAAAGGGCAGAAAAATTAGTTAATATAGAATAATATTGCATTGAAAATGGCACTTTTACACTGCAACTGACACTAAGCCAAAAAGTGCATTAGTCGAAGTGCGGAAACACATGAACTCGTTCTCGAATACGAGTTCAGCAATATAATTTGTGAAAATTGGGAATTGGTTTATGTCAGATAATTCATTAAAAAGATGTGGGTTTTTATTCCATAAAGTAGAGGGAGTGCTGCTATTGCAGTCATAATGAATGAGAGTGTCATTTATACTTTGAGCTTCACAATGACAAAATGCTAACTTGTCGTTAAAAATTGTTGTATTGTTTCTCGAAGTACTCTTTTTTATGAATAATACACTTTTGCATACACTCGAACCATTTGTCAATGCATTTTTTCCAATCTTCTTCAGACATATCCAAAACATGGTTTTAAATGCAACAACGGCTTCTGATTCTTGCGCCGACAAAACTCATTGTCCACGCAATTTATTGTTGACGTTCGGAAACAAGAAGAAGTTAACGATTCGATTTGTTGAATGATTTCAACACTCAGACAAGAAGTATGAGCACTCGCATTGTCTTGATGGAGATGGAGAATGATCTGACGGCGGTTGTTTGTTTTCCGTATTTCACTGAAGACTTCCGGTAAACAAATGGTTGTATACCATTCGGAATTGACCGTTTTACGTTCCTCTAATATTATCCGTTTAGATGCCAGATGACCAGTTTTTGCGAAAAAACAAGAGACAATTTGCTTCGAAGTACTTTGAGCTCGAACAAGTTTTGTTGGATTTGATTAATCTGGAAACAACCATAGCCGACTGCTGTTTACGTTCCGGCTTACACGCACATATCGAAGATTCGTCACCTGTGTTACAATCTTGTATACTCGAACGTCTTTCGAAGCACCACCATTGTACTTCTTGAGCATTTGTGTGCACCAATCGATAAGAGCATCTTTTTGAGATTTTGTGAAATGATGGGGGATAGGATCCAACGAGAACAAACCTTTCTCACGGTTAAATGATCGTGCATAATTTTCTTTATATGCTGGTGGAACTAATGCCTAGGGTTCAATAATGCCTCAATTTCACAGTATCAGTTTTTGCACAGCATCAATGTTTTCTGGCACAACAACTGAACAACTGATTTTGGACAACCTTCACGAATTTCGCCTGCGTCTGTGAGCGAATTGTGGCCACGATTCAAATCATTGTACCAGCGTTTCACAGTGGCAAAGGATGTTCATTTTACTTCATCGCCAAATATGGAAGTAAGTTGATCGATGCACTTTTGTCTTGATAATCCACGATGAAAGTCGAAAGTCGTGATAAATCATGAAAATTTTCTTGCGTTAATTTCATTTTTTCGCAAACACTCAATTCACAAATCACCAAATCACTGTAAGTTCCAAAAATAACGATGTTTTGACAAAAAGTCTGAAGTAGGTTTTGTTAAATAATGTCAAGCTTTCGTATGGAAACGTCAGATGACACCTGACAATAAGCAGTGTTGCCAAGGCTCAAAATATAAATAGTGGCCCTCGTACCACATCGAGGTATACTCTTCGACGGGAAAAACTATAAGCTACAGTAGTCAGTCAGTACAAATATTGGTCATGTAAAAATCGGTTGCATGAAAATTGAATGTTAAAATGAAAAAATGAAAGACAGTAGAGATGAAGTAGATGAAGTGACATGTGGAAACAGCTTGATTGGTTGCTGTAAGCACAAACAATAAACGACATTGAAAATGCTTTTTAGTGCGTTTACGGATTAAGGATTTTAAACTGAAAAGTGCATTAGCAAATGCCATGGATGTCAGACAGTTTCAAATGCGGAGATATCAGCTGCGACTGCGGCGGCAATGAGAGCGAGACGAAACAGTACCAGCAGCATATGAAAATGAGGAAGCAGACATGCAAACATATGCGTAGATAGACAATAGAGCACACAGATAGCAGCGAGGACTCAAAAAACAAGTTCACAGAAGGACGCGCAGACAGACGTGCAGATTGTTAAATAAATGGCCTAGCAGCATTTACGATGTATCAAAAGGAAAATATTTGCACCTGTGAAAATTCACAAAACTTTCAAAGGAAAGAATGAAGACCACTTTAGTAGATTCGTTTCACTTTTTTAAATTTTCAGAATTAAAGAAATTTAATTCAGATATATTTGATGCTAGATGGATGAAGGATATTAGTATATTCGCAAACTTATTAAATTACTGATAGAAGCAAAGTGAACACTACAGTTAGTAAGCTTTATAATAGGTTTTAAGAGATACAATTCAGCTCACGTGCGAAATAAGATATCAAAAAGAGTTCACGAAAGGATACTAAGCACCTGAGTATGGGGATATTGACGCGAGAGAGGTAATATTTGAGGTGGTCGTATGACTCTCCATAGTAGATGTACCATAAAAGAGACCAATACCTCAACGCATATCCAAAATTGTGGTAACAAATGACATGTACTAATCGCAAAGAATATAAGATCACTAGAACTCCACGAATAGGACCTAGATTGAATAAAAAAATAATGAAAGATTTATTGCGTTTCAGTAAACCAGCATTACATGTGTTTTGACTCTGCAGGAACTGCTACGGTAAAGAGGAGAAGACTCTGTCTTTCCTTAGGACAACAAACGAAGCGAATTCATTGTCTAACAGATCTATTCATCATAGACATGTTAGAGTTAAGCTGGCTTCGGACATATTTGTCAGATCCTTTAAATGTCATCATCTGGAAAACTGTGTGGTATAACAAGTATGATTAATGGAGTAATAATGGAAAAAATGATTGCTTGCCTCCTCTGGCAACCTAAGGGGCAATGAATGGTTGTTAGTAGAAGTTTTGATTCTTGCATAAACACGCAAAATAAATAAATATGAACCCATTTTGTAAGGTATAGAAGAAATCTATTTCATATAAAAAAGTAAGGATATTTTCCCATCGAAAAAGTTTCTGATTTTTAATCAATTGTATTTATTCTTGTGCTAACTAAAAAGGTGTTTTGGATATCGCAAAATATTTGTCTTTCAAAAAATCGATAGAAAACTTTTCAGTTTTAAACATTGTGATGAAGATTTGGTAGTATCTAAAACAGTCGTGTAGTTACCCGTTCTTGGGGTAACTTCACTCAACTAAAAATTAAAAAATTTCTTGGTTTTAAAAATATTATATTATGATCATTTAAGCAGCTATTTTTTTCATAATTCTTATTATCTTAAAATGTATTACTCGGTAAAGAAACATAAGAAGCTTTAGCTGAATTTAATATTGTCTTTCTATTTTAAAAATTTTTTCTGTATATTTCTATTTTTCACAGATATTTTCCGTCGTTTACGTACACGCTTATGGCCTGCTACTTTATCCGGCGGTATTGATGATTCCAGCGAAGAAGGTGGTAATCCATTCAATATCGATCCCAAAAATGGTAATACTACGTCCGAAGTAAAGGTTGGTAATCTGTATTTTATGTTGTTATTCGTTTTCATCAACAAAGAAACAATCACATTTTCGAATTTTGCAGAAAGGCTTTAAGCGCCAATAAACTTTCACTCTAGCTATAGCCTTAACATAAAATGCTTTTCGCTTTTCAAAAAGAAGAAATGTTTTCTAAATTAAGACTGAAAGCGGTGGACAAGCGTTTTTAAATTGACTTTTAATTTGTTAACATTAAAAAAAATAATTAAGAAATTTTTTTCAATGCTTTTCAATGCTTTTTGGCCTAAAGTTTGTATTTGGCTCAGGTTTTCTGTTTGTAGTTTCATACCGAAATATCTTCGATGTTACATGTAATTAATGAACAATTATGAATTCATGAATTTTTGAACTATTTAAAACCGGTGCTCAACCGAATCATTTTTGAAATGGAATTTCTAAATTTTTAATGTAATTAAACCTAACCATGAACCAAAATATGAACAGAACAACGAACCAGACAATACTGACTTACAAATTCTCTCAGACCGCTAGTCTGGAGGTTGAATAACCCGATTGAAACTGATTCATGGGTCAGAATATCGAAATGGCGAGTCTAACAATTTCAGAAAATCACTCGGCTCACATTCCTAATAAAAATATTGTAAGAATCTTCAAAGCATACTAGAATTTTATATTTTGAAGTATAGGCGGAAAAAAAAATAATCACAACAAATTCTCAAGTAACCATCATTGGTTACTATTGAAGAGAAATTTTAAATTCATTCTTCTCCCAAGATTTCCAATGCTTCGTGAAGTGTATAAACACACTTTCTTTTCACTTTCACTCCAGATTGTTGATGGCCATCGTGTTGAAGTTAACGAAACTCGATATGGAGACAAGAACAGTGTTTTCAAAGTACGCATTGTGAATATTCGCCCTCTTGAATCTGGCGAAGATGTCACCAATACCAATACCAATACCAACACTGATGTCAATACCGAAACTAGAACAAATGGCCAAAGTCCCGTCACAACAGCACCTAAAACCAATAAGGTAAATGATGATGACGATGACGAATCTGATGAGCGCCGTGAACCGCTGGCTAAGAAACCCAATGAAAACGAAATACCCAAAGGCAATCTCGATGATCCCGAGGTAAAATAAAGCCTAAAACATAATATATATATATATATATATATATGACATTACATTATATTTTATTATATTATATTATATTTATATTTTGTAAACAAAATGGCTGTAAGGCAAACAATTTACTGTAACAAAATTTAGTAGCGCAATAACATTTCTATTAACTTTGTAAAAATTTTCTCCAAGCTTTGTATTTTATATTATTAATTTAACTAAATATATATATAGATATATATATGTATGTATATATATTGGAAATGTATAAAATGAAATTATATATATATATATATATGTATGTATATAAGCAAAACCATTATTTAAATGCGTGTTATGTATCAGACAATCTCCTATTTAATTCTTCCTAAGAAATGCTTTGAATTTCATATATGATATGCATTAATAAATGTAAAAAATTAATATATTTCAAAATATATTTATACACAATATTAACTATATATGTAAACAAAGAATTTACAAATATTCCTCCACATATACATGTATGTATATACATACATGTGTGTATATGACTATATATATTACCAACTACTACTAACGGTTCCGCATAATTTTGTCTTTTATTGGTTATACTAACAACTACTATATAATGTATACAATATATTTTTAATAAAATAAATGTTTATTAAAAAAAGATTATGTATTGAAATAGTTTGTAATTAAACTGTAAATATGCTTCTAACTCTGCTGTATAAAAATTTCTAACTAAATATTTTGGAAACTGTAAATACGAGTATTTTGCTAATGGTTGACACTGCTGGTATCTGAAGAACTTTCCGGGTATTTTAAAAACGAGAGTTTGAGATTGCTTGTATGGTTCGCTTCAATTTATTAGAAATTAATTAAGATATCTTGTATGGGGTCTTGATTGAATAAAGAAGCCTTAAATGAAATTTAATCAAACATCAAATACCTCATTTGATGGTATATATAGGTAAGTAAATAATGGTATATCTATACAAATGTTGCTGAGAGTAACAATATATGGTCAATATACGGGAATGGTACATTGATTATTTTGATAAGTTCTTTATACAATCACATATGATTTAAAATGATCTGAAAAAGTAGGAAAAATAATAAATAATAACACAATATAATTTAAAAATAGATATACGAATAAGTTAACTTCTGTTTCTTGTAGTCATTTGCATTTATTATCAAAGCCATTTAGAAAATTAATTACTTCTGTTACAGATAGCATGTGCACTGGACTTCAGTCCAGAAGTACTGTAATTGGTAGAGCTTACGAACGGCATGTTTTTTCTCTAAAATATTGTAGAGTTTCTTTTTCATTCATTTCGGACAGAGAGGATAACCTCACTTGGTAGCGATAAAAACCGTTTGCATTCAGTTCTATCATATCACATAAGGCTTCGAATATCCTCCACTTTTCCATCGATCTGGCATATGAAAAAGAATAGATTACATATGTACATATATATTTCATAAAAATTCATATGAAGATACAGTATGACCTCGATTAATGCAACTAATAGTTTTCGAGGGTGTTGCAATAATCGGGTTTGGTTTGTTTAGTGCATCTAAAATTTTTAAAACAAGTAAAGAGACATTAAGACAAAGTTTATTAGAAAATAACATGATTACTTATTTATATTTATAACAACAGAATTGCGATAATATTTTATGACAAGAACTTATTATTTAAGCTTGCTTTTTATTGCAATTAAGATTAATTTTAACTGCCTTATTTTTTAGATCTATAAGTGTTACAACTTTTGAAAGAGGTATGGAATTTTCCTTACCCCATTGTATGCATGTGTTAAGTACATTTATAGTCACGTCTTATTTGATTATAAGTATAAGTACATGGCCTTAGTTTCCGAATCTGAACCGATGTCATGTTGTTCAGCAAGAGACACATTTTTCATAAAAAATTCGTTGACCCACTCATCCATTTCTTGTTTAGAAAAAACACCTAAAATAGTTTCATGATTTCATAATAGAGCATAGGAGAGCAAATAAATACACATAAGTGACAAATAAAATATTTAGAATGTAAGAATACATACTTCGCGGTAGTCAATTTTCAAATTTACAGGAAAGATTTAAGAGGTTGCAATAGTGGAGGTGTTGAGATATTCAAGGGTTGCATTAATCGAGGTAATACTGTTATTACTTTGCAAACAGAATTGTATCTCACGGCATCATATTTTAAATTGCAACGAATTTTAACAGTTAAGATAAATAAATTATAAAATTGCCCATATGCATTGAGTTAACTGGATGTATTGACGCATAGACGCAATGACGCAATTTTAAGTTTGAGTCGTTACTTTGAAGGTGTTTAAGTATCTTCGAGAGTGCAATACACTTGAATACAATTTAACACTGAATAAAATTACATTAGTTTTTATAGCATAAATTATTCAAATTTTGATATCAATTTTACCAATTCAAATTTCTTTGAGCAAACTGCGCTCATAAAAATTCACTCAAAAACTTAAGCACATATGCAACGCAATGCAATAAAAAATGACATAAATGACATAAAGTGTTCGTGAGTCTGTGTATGTGTGTGTGTGTGGGTGGGTGCTTATGTGCATAAGTGCATAGTGCAGCATACACCGTACACCGTACAGTGTGCAGTGTACAGTGTATAGTGACAGTGTTAGGAACGGCAGAGCACGTACTCATTTGAATGAGGTGTGAAAATTGTGCAAATTTCGCTGAGCTGAATGATTGCTTCTATGCATGACTCCTTATGTGTAGGTGTGTGTGCTATTGTGCTGACGTGGTCTTCTGTTCTCATCATCATCATACGGTATCTTGTGGCACTTCTAATGCATATGCATGCAAGTAATGGTTGGAAAAGCGAACAAACTTAAAAGCAACGCCTCTGACCCCTGAACTATTTATGCAGTAGCATACTTTTTTGCTCATTTCGTGCATATTTTAATTTCATTAGATTTTTTCTACTTGGATTTTGCATAAAAACTGTCACAATTTTGCAGTAACATAATTGAAAATTCTTGAAAAATTAAGACCAGAAATATTGAATTCTATTGAATATCAATATCTATCTATGCCTTAAAAACCAGGTAAAATTTTAATAGAACTTCAGGTCAGAACTTCAGTGCATCAGGAGCATATCAATTTTAATCAAATTTCAGAATTGAAGTCATGTCTAAAGAGATAAGTTTTGTATAAGTTTGGTACTGAATACTAAGTATATAATTTTGAATTAAAGGTGAGGATTCGATCATATAGAGTAAATACATAAAGAAAGAACACTGTTAGAGATTCTCAAAAGTCAATTTTCACAAAGAAAAAAGAATGAAATGTGATATACGCTCAATGGGACAGTTATGGTCGAGTGGATCAGAATGGAATTAAAACGTACTGTTTCTTTTGTCTGTCAGCGATATACTGACTCATTTATTCTCCTCAAATTCTTTTTTCCTATATGTAATAAAAAAATTATATAATTATAGAAATACTTATATACTCATACTACGCTATATACTATACTATACTCATACTACGCTACGCTATAGATACTATATACTAGTATAAAGTGGAAGTCAGAAAATGGCAGCAAAAGTCAAACAATAAACATAAGTATTAAGTAAGTATACATATTAAATGATATTAAGTACGCGACAAGTTTTTTTTTAAATTATACATGCTCTAGGTTCTAGGATTATTGATTCTTATGTCATTGCAGGACATCGTCCTTTTTTCAAATTTTTATTATGTATATATGAATTGATGAATGTTTTTGCTTAAAATCTACTGATTATTAAATGAGTATTGAATGCTAAATTGACTTTACTTACTAGATAACACGATCAGCTCATGTTTTTATAATTGATGTAGTTATAGATATTTGTTTCAAGTTTAAATTTTTTTTACATAAGTATAATTTTTACAAAGGAGTTTAAAGAATTTCAGTTATAGATACATATCAGTGAGTCTGTCCTGGGAAAACTAATCACAGTTGTATCTTAATGAGATAGGGTCATTGCTAAACTATGTATATTCGCATTAACAAAGAAGAGAGATGCTGAAAATAATTGGCATAATATAATAATTTTCTTTAGTGTCTTGAAGGAAAATTATTTAGAGGCGACAGTTTTTGAGACTACTTTTCAATAAATGAATTATACTCGTATTATATTTCTTCCACTTACCGTTGTTATTGTTATTATAATGTTGGGAGATTTGCACTACGATCTAAAATTCTACTCTGCTGAATTCATGGACTTAGAGTATTTTCCATGTTCTTTTTTGAATTGTAGTTTTGGATCCATATTATAGAGATTTATTTCTTAATCTGACGTGGGTTGCTCACTTAGGTATATCGTTCGCTAACGCATTAGTGTCGAGCAAGTCCTACTTTCCATTTTAAAAATGAAAGCAACAATCTCAATTTTAGAAGCAGTAATAGCTCGGCATCTTAAGATACTTAATTAACATTGTCTTCACTACAATTTTTCTTTAATTAATCTTATGATTCATAACATATATTGGACTAGTATTGTATGCAGTGCATAAATTAATAAACATTTTAAGAAATTCAGTTCATAACTTTAATGTGACTTCGAATTTCTCTACCATTAGTTAAATACTGCATTTAACCTTTTTAGTAATTTGCACTTTATTGGCGTCGACTAGGCCGTAATGTGATTATGTCTAATATCTCTCACATATTAGTATATTCTATTTTCTTGTGGCTGTATTTTTAATTTCATCACTAAAAATCGTAGGTATGGATTTTTTAAGGATTGTGATATGTTTTAAAATTTCATCTTATTTTATTGAAAATCATTGTTTTTATCGAAAATGTTTAAAGTATATCAATATATCAAGTAAAATAAATCAATATGAATATGTATATTCACAGTTTATGGCCACTACTTTATTACAAATTCTAAATGCATGTTAAGTGTGAAAAAAGAGTCTCATGCTATGTAAATGTTAAGCCTTACTAGTCCTAGCTCTGGGACTAGTTCACGGTCTCTAGTTTGGAATCTATTATCTA